TTTCCTCATGTAGTGTCTTCTGGTTCCTTCAAAACAGAACTGATTGAGGTTCAGAAGCTGCATGGAGGTAGAAGACGAAAGGCGGAGCAACTTCTTTTTTTTTTATGTTTGTTTTTTGGAGGGAGGCAGGAGATCAGTTTGTAACAAAGTTAGTTTTAATGAAATTTGAAAGTAATTTAGTCATTGATTATTATAATGCCTCAAGTGGAAATGTAAGTGGCACTCTGCACTACATTTGTGTTGAACACCACACCGAGAAGCAGATAATGCATCTGACCATCCATTTTCTTCAGCTCATCAAGGGTCTGGTCGTGGGGACAGCATACCGCCTTTACCTTTATGGCATTTTTCCCAAAAAAATCACCAGATTTCAGAGATGTGTTTCTCAATACATTATTGTGGTTTGAAGGTAAATGCTGAAAATGTGCAAAGACTGGGAACAATGTTGTACTCAGTTGTGATAATATAGTGTTCAAATATTTGTCACCATTTCAGTTTGCTTTTTTTTTTTTAGGTGTGGCTGAAATGGTGACACTTACAAACTGTGTAAGAAGTTGCGGAACCTGGTTCACACGAGAGATAATCCTGTGTAATTGCTATGTGCAGGTAGCTAGCTAGCTATGCCGGCACCCTGAAAATACAGTACATCTTCCCTTTGAATAGACTGTTGGCATGGTCGCTCAAGTGCGCCTCACTGGTGTGCAATGGAAAAGCCCTGGGAGGACCTGGTGGGTTATATTCCAGCCACTGGAGACTTTACAGGGACACTATATACTTTCATGGCCCAAATGTGTAGTTATGTACTGTATAGGCATAAGAAAAAGGCGAGATGATTAGCATCCATTTTTCCAGGTCGCAAAAGTGGCATTGGGTTGACGGTTGAGTGGGCTTGACACAAAAAGATGTTTACTTTCAAACAGGGCTGGACAGCAATTTTAAATGAATTTGATTCCAATTTTACCAACAGCCATCATCATGGCAAAAGTCTTTTGGGCGAATCTTTTTTTTCCAAAGATGGGCTATGAAAAGCACTCCTTCAGTCAACTTGTGCTTGTTATTGTTTCAGTCAGCTTGTTGCCATCAGTTGGAAATCACTTTAAGAGGCTAAACTGATGTTGATGTAGAAATTCACTGGCCCCAATAATCTTTCTTGATGTGAAGTTTTCATTTTCCTATGCTGTGAGTGGCACGTCCAGGATTGAGATCGTATTGTGTTGTGTAGACCAGGGGTCCCCAACCGCCGGTCCGCGGACCGGTACCGGTCCGCTGGGCATTTGGTACCGGGCCGCACAGAAAGAACTTGCCTTAATTCAGTTTTATTTATTTCGGAATACGAAAGATGTTTTATTTTGAAAAACTACCGGATTCTCCGTTACATCCGTCTGTGTTACGCTTGACACACGTCAAGCCACGCTTCTCCTTCACGTGACCGATTACTTTAAAACAAAACGCGGGAACTCGCAAAATGAGTAAAAAAAAACTGCTGGAGATCGCAAATGACGGCAGCCTTAAAAGTACGTTCGAGACAACTGGATCAAAGTTATGGCTGAATACTCTGAGATGGCCACAATAGCACTGTTGCTATTTCCGACATGAAAATCAAGCTCGGTGCTGTGGTGAGTCGTCATTTTCATGCACTTTGAATTTGCGTTGTATCGTATTTTGAAGGCATTAAACATTGCCATAGCGATCGGAGTGTTGCGGCCAGATTAGACGCTCCTTGTGTTTATTATTATGTTTCGAAAATGCCACAGTTTTCATGCAGCTCATACCATATTATTTTGTTGTATTATTTCCGCCACACCTTAATTGCCGGTCCCTGAAAATATTGTCGACATAAACCGGTCCGTGAGGCAAAAAAGGTTGGGGGCCCCTGGTGTAGACCATCCATCCATTTTATGAACCGCTTTATCCTCACAAGGGTCACGGACGTGCTCGAGCACATTCCATCTGTCTTCGGGCAGCGGGTGGGTACACCCTGAACTGGTTGCCAACCAATCGCATGGAACACATAGAACAACCATCCGTGCTCAAACTCATACCAAGGGACAATTGAGAGTGTTCCATTAACCTGCCATGCATGTTTTCGGAATGTGGGAAGAAACCTGAGTACCCGGAGAAAACCCACGCAGGCACGGGAAAACATGCAAACTCCACACAGGAAAGCTGGAAGCCGGAATCGAACCAGGGACATCTGCACTGTGAAGCAGACGTGCTAACCAACCAACCGCTTTGGGGGGTACCAACTTTTGTGTATGCCATCAAGGTAAATTGCTCGCAATTTGTTGCTTCTTCTGGTGTTCTCTGTTGCTTCCGTCCTCTAAAGCGCTCTCATAGAGTTTGTAAACATTGTCAGTGACCTGTTGCTTTGCAGTTTTTCTCTTTTGCTTAGGTAGATTGCTTAGATCAGAATAAGATCTTGACATCAAAGTGTCACATGTATATAAAAAAACAAAACATTTTTCATTCCTTTGAACAAGTTGGAAATGCTTTGGCACACCCATGCAAATGATGATGTACCATTTACTGTGGTTTCCTGCATTATCATGTTGATCAAAATAGATGAGAATGGGTCTCAGTTGAATTAGTATTATTAGTCCATCAAAAGTCTTTACATTCAAAATGATACATGTCAAGCATATCTTTAGACACTTTCGTTACATTTTTTCTCCCCGACGAATCTTGACTTTTTCAAATGAAGGGAGATGCAAGAAGCTTTAGACCGCTGGTGTCAAACTCAAGGCCCGGGGGCCAGATTCGTCCCGACAAGTCATTTCATATGGTCCGCAAAATTAAATATCTCAACTTCCATGATCCTTGCTGAAGTCTGTAGCGAAATGTCAAATTGTCATGTATAATAAGTAACATTGAAATTTTGCAGTAATTTGGTTACCCTGTTTATGCCTACTTGCATATTAATTGAGCAAACAACAAAGAAATAGTTGAAAAATTTCAAAAGTCATAATCCATCACCGTGTAGTGCACAAGTAATAATACGATGTGATGATTAAACATTTTTTCAGTTTCACTGTCATAACGAGGGAAGATATAACACCAAAGTGGCCCATGGCAAATATGAGTTTGACACTCGTGCTTTAGATAAACAGATGATGAGTCAGTTTTCTGAATTGGTTTAGCACAAGAGAAGATATGCAAAATTTGTAGCCCAAAGCCACAAGCATCAGGTGCAGGCACAAGAAGACTGCACTGTAATTCCTACAACACTGCCTATACAGTTGTCCCGAAAAAGACTATTTTCACATTTCTACTTCTGTCTTTTGTTTATTCTCTTTGTGCTATTCACTGCTGACTTTTCCTTTCAGTATTGCTATCAGTAGGTTTGTCAAGAAATTGCAGGACAGAGGAAAAGCAAAAATGTGAATATTGTCCAATCTCTTGCAATAAATCTTCCACACACAGTAAGACTGGTTACACACTAACAATCGTGCTGTTGTTTTTTTTGTCCTAATTTTGCCCCTTCCTGACCAAAGATGTCAAACAGCCCACCACACACACAATACGACCAAAACTGTTAAATGTCTGTTTTTTTTTTGTCTGCCAAGGATTAAAAATAATCTTTTAAAATGTGAAAAATCCTTATCTGTACCCATCTTAAAATGTAATTTACAAATTAGAATAATGCTCATTCAAAACTGTAGCCGAAGTTTTCATCAGAATATCACTCGAGTACACCGCTATGTATTGACAACATGACTGCAAATTTCGAGGATGATGTACCAGAGCAACCGAGCGAAACTGTAAATACTGCTGCCGTATTAAGTGCAGATTTGGGAGGTATACTTTAAAACTGCAATTCAATGCAAACACACACACACACACACACACACACACACACGCACACACACACACACACACACGCACACACAACAAAATCCTTTAAGATATTCGCTGGCGTTGGGCCAAAACCTCCTATATCACGATTTGGTCAGTTTCTTATTTTTTTAAGTCTATTTAAAACGTGGAATGAGCAATTGCAGTCGATCAAAGTATATTGTGACCAGTTGTCCACCAAACTCCAGGAAAGCTTGGTTTGGCCCACAAGTACATGCAACATCTTCACTGAGGTGTCTCTGTCACCAACATTAAAAATGTAATCCTGCGAAATTCTCCATAATTTTATGAAATGTGCCTATAATCTGATTACTTTTTCTATTTTTTTCTGTAACTGGAACAGATTACAGCTACATTTCTTTTGTATCCTGAATACGTAATGCCAGTATATGTATTCCGTTACTCCTGAAGCCTTCTTGGGTGACATCCTTTCATTAAGGTTGCTCAGGAGTAACTTTCCTGAAGTTTCTTTCAAGTATTTCCAGGTCATCTCAATTTAGGAAAAAAAAAGCAAAATCAGAAGATGCCACCGGTCTCCCCAGTGCATCTTGCGACGTGTTCGGAACACCTCAACTGGGAGGCATCCAGGAGATTCCCAAGCCAGCTCATATGGCTCATCTGAAAGCTTCCCATATGACTGAGCCCAGATACCCTGCAGAGGAAATTGATTTTGGCCACTTGGTTTTGTGATCTTCTTCTTTCAGTCACGACTACCCACAGCTCGTGGTCATAGTCTGATGGAGAATTCACATTCATCCCTCACTCGTGAACAAGACCACAAGAGAGTCATTCGCAACCCGGAGAGGGCATGCCCCATTTTTCCGGCCGAGGAGCATGGCCTCAGATTTGGAGGTGCTGATTTTTCATTAAACCACTTCACTCTTGCTGCAAATTGCTCAAGCCAGATGAAGAAGACAAAAGCTACCTAGCATTTGCCACAGAGTCGGCAAATTCTATTCCATGCATTAATTTTATATCTTCATTCTCCTCATTAGGGTCGAGTGTGAGCTAGTCTATCCCAGCTAACTTGAGACGAAAGGCAGGGTATAGCATTCATTATGACATTCAAAATTCCCAGTCAAAGGAGGGTTCATGTATTTTTGATGCACGGAAGACACAATTAGGGAAGGGGAGACATTGAGAAAAAATTTTCTGTACTACTAGATGTACTTTAATGCAGGTGGGAAAGATGTATGCAAAACTTTACTGACTAAACAAGTGCCATGTGGTCAAATAATAAGCTATTATCGGGTATTTTTGTCTTCTGGGTTATATTTAACTACAACTCTTCATTACAGCTGGAACGATGTTTTCTTTGAGGACCTCAACCTCCATCTTAGCCAAAAGTAGAGTTGTTCCAGGCCACATTGGAAGCATCCATGTCCACAAAATTGATATAAATCCTGAAATAGACAAAAGGAGAGATTGTGGGCATGAACGGTGAACAGAACCTTGTGTGCAATTGCCCATGCTAATCATCGGAACTCATCATGATAATCGTTGGTTAGCATACCTGTCAGGAGAAACACCCAAGTGTTTGTTGAGCAGTCCACACAGTAGTGTAGAGTACTCTTTGTTTTGAGAAGGGCTGATCTTTCCAATGCTGTGAAGGGAGCAGAGTGCACACGCGTCTCCCTTCCCTCCAAACATCATCATTTGTTCTGCGTTGATTAGCACAGCAATGTACTGATGTTTGAAAAAAAAGGGAGAAAAACATGGGTGGATCCCTCAATTAAGATCACACATGAGGTCATCTATTTGTCCTAAAAGCATGCATGAACTGTTAAGAAATGCAACTCTTGAGGAACTGAAAATGTCATCAAACGCATAGATCACTTTGCAAAACAATAGATGGGTCTTTTCAAGAATTGAAGGGAATTTTCTGTCTCCCTATTAAAAAAATAGTAAAATGAAAATTAAAAAAGATTGCTAAATATTACTACAAATAGCAAATATCTCTTGAGCACCCCCTGAAGTCGCTTTTTCCCCCCCAGCCCCTCTTGATAACCATTTTACCAGAGATGGGCATTCCGTCCCTGGGACAGAACGGTCCTTCCGTCCGGTACGGACGTCCATTTTTGGGACGGAGGATGAGAAGTTTTTTTAAAAAGGACAGACTAAGCAAGGAAGGAAGTGGATTTTCGTCCATCCTTTTAATTGTCCCTAACCAGGTTAAGTATGTGGTGTCAGGAGGCAAAATTACACAGCCAGACTGTAGCCAAACACTGTATTTTTTGAACAGCACAACCCGTTTCATCTCAACAGTATTTTTAGAGCAACACTGCCACCTACTAGCGTAAAGTCAGAGAACATAAAGTACCGACGGACAGCCATTTCACTAATCCAGACAGTTAAGAAAGCTGGTTGTGTTGTATGTCTCAAGGTGCCCGCCCACTAAGATGCTTATGCCAATTGAGGCACGGATTTCTAAAAGTAAAGCTTATTATTCATTCATTCATTCATTTTCCGAATCGCTTGATCCTCACTAGGGTCGCGGGGGGTGCTGGAGCCTATCCCAGCCGTCTTCGGGCAGTAGGCGGGGGACACCCTGAATTGGCTGCCAGCCAATCGCAGGGCACACACAGAGACGAACAACCATCCACGCTCACATTCACACCTAGGGACAATTTAGAGTGTTCAATCAGCCTACCATGCATGTTTTTGGAACGTGGGAGGAAACCGGAGTACCCGGAGAAAACCCACGCAGGCCCGGGGAGAACATGCAAACTCCACACAGGGAGGCCGGAGCTGGATACAAACCCGGCACCTCTGCACTGTGAAGTTGACGTGCTAACCACTGGACTACCGAGCCGCCAAAAGCTTATTATTTTCATTATTATTATTATTATTATTATTATTGTTATTACTTTTCATCATAGTAGCTTTTCTGTGTTGTGAAATACAGTACTAATGTTGAGTTACTTATCACGAGTTAAAAATATAAGAAACAGTGATGTCATTTTTGTTTGATTGATGGGCAGTCCTATCTGCAACAGCCAATCACAGCATGTTTCTCTTGTGAAGTGATATTAACCCTGTAGTGACCACCTCTAAGGAGCGGAAAAACACCCTAAAATCCCTCATACATGGGCGACAATTCTAATATTTTCATAGGTTGATGTGAGCATAACATTCCAACATAAATTTGGGCACATTCGGCGACGGTTGGATTTCTATATTATGGATTTAGACAGTCATGTTGGATCACTGTACAGCGGGGGGGGCGGGGGGGGGGGTCAAACAAATGTTTGTCATGGGCAACATTTTCGTTAATGTTTCCCTTGGAGGGCCGTTATGACTGAAACCAAATGAAAAAAGTCAATAATAATGGTTTATTCAACTATTGTTTAAGTTACTGTAATGAGGGGTTTGGTTACAAGAAAATTCTTACAATATGTCTCTTATTTATTACGTATGAAAAATTGAAATTTTGGTATAGATTTTCGCAAGCATCATGCAAGTTGACATGCTTGATTTACTTCCACAGGCCACATAAAGTGACACGGCGGGCCGGATCTGGCCCCCGGACCTTGAGTTTGACACCTATGCTGTACGGCAAGTGAGAAAGGACACATTTACAGTAGCATCGGCAACTAACAAGGCATTTGAACCCCTTAATCCAAGAATCCATGGCAGCTATAAACTCTTTAGAAACCTAAAAGCAATGCGGTATTGACATTGAAATACACAGATTGCAAGGGCCTCGTATTTTGCCATGCAGCATCAAAATTGGATGAGACATCTTTTGGTGAAGACCTGTGGTGTTCTAGTGTACGATATCAATTGGTTTATTTTGAATATATTGTTTTAAATCAGGGTGGTACAGTAGTCGACTGGTTAGTATGTCGGCCTCACAGTGCAGAGCTGCAGAGTTCGAACCCAGGCCCCGGCCTTCCTGCGCAGAGTTTGCATGTTCTCACTGTGCCTGTGTGGGTTTTCCTTACTCCGGTTTCCTCCCACATTCCAAAAACATGCATGGTAGGTAAATTGTCCCTAAGTGTGAGTGTGAATGTGTCTGTGAATGTTTGCCGATGTGTGCCCTGCGATTGGCTGGCAACCACTTCAGGGTCTACCCCACCTACTGCTCGAAAACAGCTGGGATAGGCTCTAGTACGCCCGTGACCCTTGAAAGGATTGAGGGATTAAAAATGGATGGGGTTTTTCAATCAGGTGTACTTGCAGTCATACATGCATATTTCAAATAAACGTATTTTTTAAATGCATCTCAAGATTACTATTTAACCATTCTACATTGTCTCAGAAATGGACTGGTTGCGTTGTTAACAGAGAGTTCATTTAATCTGATAATTTCTAACCCGAAACATTGACGTCCAGGTTTGATGCTACAATGCACGCAGTGGGTATTTTCAGACAGAGCGAAGAAACATATCTACTGATAGCTGTGACACAAGGCAAAAAGCCAGATGATGGACATGCGTTCCACCCGCATGTCGTGATATATAAATAGGCACAAGCTTGTCAAATTGAGTGAGCATGGCGTTGTTTTACCTGTGCAGGTTTGCCCATAGCTTTAGCCAGCTCCTTGGTAGCTTCTGTGAGCAGAGCCGGGGGCACGCTGCCTTTGGCCACGTTGGTGTTAACTACAAACATCGGCATGATTTCCAAGTAGAGATTTCACGGTTCTTTCAAAATACCAAAGTAATGCAACTCTGGCTGGCTGAATGATCGGTTCCGGATGCTGAGGGCCACGGAGTCATAGACAAGTGTTCAAAGATGAGGCGTTGTGTGGAAGGTGGCCAGTTACTGCAACACGTCTGCGTGTCCGCCATATTTAATGTGCCACATGCGCCCGTAATCATGGAACGACACAAAAAATATAAATAAAATGAGGAAAAATGGGCACCAAAAACAAAGTATGTCCCTTTTGATCTGATGATTATATATGTTTACTGTAAATACCAACCGATTCCCAAATTTGCAAACACATTAAAGCTATCCTTCCTCTATTATTGTCTATTTGTGTGCTCAGGCCAAAGTGTCAAATGTAAAAGTATTGCTTTGTTATCATCTTGTGGCCAAGGAATTCCGTTGAATTAAGAAGAGGGGCAATTAGCACGGCTTGATCTCCCCTCAACACCCATCTTCAAAAGGGTTGACACTATATGAACACTACTGTGTTTGTATAAGTTTACAGCGAGGTAAATTTTGAAAGTTTTAAAAATCAATTTTATTGCTGGTACGATGAATATTGAAATCAGCACGTATAAAAGGTGTTTAACTTATTTGTCTCATAACCAGATCCTGAAATGTGGATGTAACTACTGTACCAGGGACATTATCACTTAGTCTTAGGGTGTAGGCTTTTGTTGCCAGTGGTTTAGACATGAATGGCTGTGTGTTATTTTTAAGGGGACAGTAAATGTTCAGTAATTGTAGCGAATCATTTCTCCAGTATTTTCCCGTGGATATCCATCCATCCATCCATTAATTTTCTGAACCACCGATCCTCACGATAGTTGCGGGTGTGCTGTAGCCTATCCCAGCTGTCTTTGGGCAGCAGGCGGGGTGCACCCTGAATTGGTCACCACTTGCCAGCCAGTCGCAGACGGATAAAAATGTGTTTAAAAATGTGAGGGCTGTACTAATCTTGTTGTCATTTGTTCCAAGTTTCTAATTCATAATATTTTCGACAAAGCCAGAAAATCGTGTTGGCAAGTGTGTCCAAACACAATTAAGGGTAATTGTTCAATCTGAAAGTTTTACTCCCATGAAATCTGGCTTTCACTCTAAACCGTTTGGTACATTCCCAAACAGTAAATGAATTAAGCCATCTTGTGTAATTCCTGCAGTTTGTCACATCCAATATGGCGGCGACGTAGACGTACGTTTCAGCTCTTAAAAATGACATATAGGTATTGAAATTTCGAGGAGCGACCGTGACTGCTTTTTCGTGTTTTAAAATAATTCGGCCACAAGGGCACTACAGGGTCACGTCCCGTCCTGGAGAATGCGGTAATTTGAAGACAAACAACCCCGAGATTGACAAGTGTTATGTTACCTTTGAGTTGTGTATTTATTTTTGAACGAAACACGACTTTAGAGATCATATCGATAAGAATGATGATTCCCAATCAATGTTTTGTGTGCTCTTAGCGCGACTGCTCTCGTCTGTATGGCGATGACAATACTGAGCACGCGCAGTGTCCCCAAACATCACTCGACAGCGTTTTGAGAGGCGAAGGGAAAAACAGTAGTGGTGGGAAGAAAGCAGAAGTATGATGGCGCTTTCTTTTGTCGCCGTCTTCAATTGCTTTAAAATTGGACTCGGCTTGAGTGGAAAACGTTGAACCTAAGCGGCCTTTCTGCGATTTTCACGAATTCACCAGAGGCATCTAAACACACAGTGAGTATTTGAAGGCGAATTAGCCTGCTGGCTAATCGGACCATTCCCTAACGTTACGCAGTGGTTGCAGCTCCTCTGTTTTTGCATTATTCAATTTCCACTCGAATGCATGACGTTAGAATTCTCCGTTTTGACATTTTTGAGTCGGTGAGTACCGGAAATGATCATTTCAGAGTAACGGTTCAGTCGATGACGCCCCACGAGCAATATTTTATTGAATGATATTTGTTGTAACTACATTTGTTGTTGTGACACAGTAACGTCGTGTCGTATTTCTATTAGAAGGTGAAAAGAAAGAAAAGTGCTTAAATGTAAATACTGTGTTAATATTTGCAGTACGGCAATCCAGATCTACGGCTCATGGTTTGCAAATAAATGTTTTAACGGTTTTTTTTTAAACTATCCCATTATTCGCTGAAAATTCACTTATTCTGAATTGCTAAAATGCCACAAAATAAGCGTCAAAACCTTGGATATTAGATAAAGTGATGACCTCACTAAGATTAGCCTGGGTTGTGAACTAAGTTCCAGAGAGTCATAGCGGTATTTTATGCCCTCCGGAAACGAAATAATCTGTCGATGATTTATTTTTAAAGTTAATGTTGTAAGAAGAGTCTGACATGATATTAGTGCTTTGGTTCTTGTGGTTCTCAAGAACTTCATACAAAGTCCATCCATTTTCCGATCGCTTTATCCTCACAAGGGTCAGTCAAGGGTCATGCAGTGCACGATACACAAATGGATAGCGGTTTTATTCTTAAGATTTATATTTGCTAATATTATAAACTACTGCAACATTATACAGTACAATACATGTTTTTTAACAACTCCTTCACAACAGTTTACAGCTGTAACAAAGTGCTTTCCAGACCATTTAACATGAAACAACAAAAATAATACAACAGTTATGCACTGTTTGAAGTTTTAATGGTCGAGGCGCTTTAGGTAAAAATATTTTAAACATAATTTAATCAAAATGTGTTGTACCTACAAGTTAAATTAAAATTCTACTTAAATGTTTAAATACAAACTATTCTTCACACTTTATCACTGACTTTGTCAAAAACACACTTTATTCTTTATCATTTCAACTTTTCCATGAAACAATAATATGTAAACATGTGGACTGCACTTATCAAGGACCAAACTAAAATAAAGAAATAATAAATAAAACACACACACACACACTCACACACACGCTCACACACACATACCTACCAACTGATCGAAAGTAGGATGTGTTTTATTTATTTATTTATTTTCAAATTGTAGTCTTTGCAATTTCAACATTGCATTCTGCTACATTGTAATCCCATTTGCAATTCAAATGAATTGTTCAGCTATACTGGCACAAAACAAAAAAAAAAAAAATCAATGAAGCCACAACACTCGTATGCCAAGGTATCACTGCACGAAACATTTTTAAGGGGGTCATCAAGTACTTTTGTGTTTTTGCCACTGGCCACATGGCTCTGTCTCTAGATGACTTCATTAATGCTCCCCCGGTGACACACATTTTCTCATGTGCAGCTTCCGTTCTGATCCGTCCCTGTGACGATGGAGGAATCAGTGACCACATTTGAGACACATTTGACCGCCGTCATGGACGGCCTCATCCGGGCGTCAGTATGCGAGATCACCAAACTGTTCCAGGAGACAGTGTCCGACTACCTGGTGGAGCTTTCCCTCAACCGCAAGGAGAACGACGCTCTCAAGCTGCGCTTGAGGCTCACCGAGAACAAGCTGAGGACGGAGCGCATGTACGGCGCCGGCTGGGCCGCCAGTCGCCGCAACGCGGGATCCATGGCCGAGGAGGGATTACGGCACAAACGGAAAGTTGAGAAGGAACGTAAGTGGACGGGACTCTTTTGCACGGGGTGCCATCTGATTGTGGCAGTACGATTATTATTGTTTACATTTCAGAAACGGAGATGTTACTGCATAAGAAGGCTTACACCAAGACACACTTGTTTTTTTGCAAACCATCTGGCAAGAGCTCATCACTCCCTCCCTTCTCTTCATCCTCCACCTCTTGCTCCTTCTGCCTGCTACGGTCCCCCTTCGCTCTGTGTGCTTTGACACTCGTCCTCCCTCCTTTACTTCCTCTGCCTCCTCCCTCGATCGTCTACCCCCCATTTTCTCTCTCTGTGCCTTGCCACTCTTATCTTCTCCTCCCCCTTCTTTCTCGCTTCTCTGTGCTATTCTTCCCTCCCTCCTCCTCTTCTTAACCGCCTCCGCCACCTCCTCATACCTCTGTCCTCTCCTCTGTGCTTCAGCACACTATTCCTCATTCTCTCCTTTTCTTCCTTCATCTTCTGCCCCCTCCTCTCTGTCCTCTGCACTTTGACATACTATTCCACCCTCCTCCTTCTGTTCCTTCCCTCTGCCTCCTCCCTGTCCCTTCTCTATATCCTCTGCTTTGACACACTCTTCCTCCCTCTTCCTTCTTCCTCTGCCTCCTCCTCCATCTGTTTTCTACCTCCCCCCTCCTCTCTCTGTGCTTTGAAGCTCTTCCTCCTTCCCTCCTCTCATAGCTCCTCTCCCTCCACTATGTTCTTCACTACCCTGCCCCCTCTCCCCTCCCTTCCTGCCCCCCCCCCCACCTCCTGTGTGCTTCGCTTCCATGTCACGTCTTGCACACTCCTCTTCCTCTCCTCCTCCACCTCGGCAATTAAGTATTCTCTCCCCATTCCGCTCCTCTTCATGTACTACTTATCCTTCCTTTTCCACATCTTGTCTACCAACCTGTGTCACTCCAATGCTCTCATTTGCCTCCTTCAGTGTCACTCTCACCTTTTTTTCTCATTCAGCCATTGCTCCTATGGCTTGCCAATCATTTCCTCCCACTCACTCCCCCTCCTCAGCCTCCCATTGCACTGTCTTTCCTCTCCTCACATCTTTTTTTTTTCCCTCCTCAGCAGGCAAGTCAAAGAAGGGCCCTGCAGCAGCCTATCGCAGAGGCTGGCCTGGAGGCATGTGGGAGGAAGGCAGAGGAGGAGGCGGTGAAGGAGGAGCAGTCCCAGCAGCAGCGGTGATGGCAGCACAAGAAGGAGGGAAAGATTCCAGGCAGAGGTACCTCGTCCAGCTCCCCAGGGGTGACGAGGATGAGGAAGGCATGGCGCAGGATGAGGAACGGGAGGGCAGCCTCAGCGGTGAGGGGGAGGAGATGACTAGCATCAAAGAGGAGGTGAGGGACGAGGAGGAGAACAAAGTGGAACAGCAACACTGCTTTGCAACTTCTCAGAGAATAAGATGCAGCAAGAGAGTTTTGTTTGTGGTCGGATCGCTGCGGCTGTGTAGTTGACAAATGGAGGACCAGTGATTTGAAATCGGAATGGGAGCACTCCACTTCACAAGCACAAGCACAAGAGCACTGAGCGTCATCTATGCCCAAATAGAAAAGCCCACGCAGTGGCGCGCCCATGCATATGCATTCAAAGCATATGCATGGATATGCCGACTGTCTTACAATAGAGCCATTTCCTAACATTTTCTTTTCCCTAAGATAGCTGCATACCAAGTGACGCAATTGAATCATTCAATAATTGCATCTGAAACTAGATTGGTCTCAACTCCAAACGCCAATTTGCAAATGAATGGCAAAAGAACAGCACAGATCTTTACACATAATCAGAATGCCAGTTTATATCACATAATCTTTCACAACATGGAATCTATCTCCTAGTATATACGGCAACCGCTGCTATATTGTGGAAAACTACGGTTTACCGTGATCATTTTTAGATTATCCTCTTTTAGTGTAAAACCTGCACTTGTGAGAGAGGGAAAGTCGGCAGCGCACTTCTCAGCAATTTATTGAATGCTAGGAGAACAGTTCAACACATTAACACAATGAGCACACACATGCAGGAGCTGCTGCCGGCCACCGCTCACAGCCAGACACTCACACACAACCGCCATCTCGTTCGCCACCTCACACACCACCCCATCTGCCACACATACATTACAATATGTGCAGTATGTTTTATACACTTTATGCTTTCAAGTTTCTGTTCAAATCCATTCCCAGTTTGTTAAAACATGTTTTAATTAACTTCACTGTGTGGGAGGTGTAAATTCTTTTTCTCATACACTTTCGCTGATTTTTATATTCGGAAACTAGAATCCAACCATTTACTGCCACCGATGTCTATCTTAGTTATGTCTTAATAGTCACTCTTTATTGTGGATTTTCACCTAGTGAGTGTGTCTTGAACTTATCCTTGCAATGTAATGTCCACTCACTCACTTCTGCCCTATGCCAAAATGTATTGTCGCTGCCCCACAAGTATTTTATACTTCGCACCAGATGTTGGTGATATCACGTGCGTTTCATTCACGTATTGCAGAATTCTGTGCTGCCATGCAAAAGCTGACGCAGTGACCTTAATGATGACAAGTGCTCAAGAAATGAGATGAATAAACTCTAAATGCTTCTCTATTTGATGTTGCTTGGAAATTTCCTTACTATGTTCTGTTCTTCGCCTGGCAGTTTCCTCAGAATGAAGGACATCAACCGGCTTCTCTCAGGCTGATCAAGGAAGCTCTGAAGATGGAGCGGCCAAACCACAACTTCCGTGATAGTTCCAGAGTCCAAAGTGAAGGTAACGACCCCTGGCGCATACTGACTAACAGAGGATAAAATAGATGGTCCAGTCCAGGGACGGATGACCCGAGCCAACGTGGCGCACTAGACAAAATTTTCATGCGTCATGCGTGGAAAAGTTGTTATCAATGTGTCGTCATGCTCCGATACATAGTTGGTAACGGGTGTGGCGGTCATGTGCCGAAAAATGGTTGTCGACGGGGTGGGAATGGAGTGGGATGGGAGTGTGCTGGCCGTGATGCCAAGGACCAGCCCGGAAACATACCGGCCGGCCGCCTCACAGTGCAGTGGTGGAAGATTCGATTCTGGCTCCGGCTTTTCTGTGTGGAGTTTGCATGTTATCCCCGTGCCTGTGTGGGTTTTCTCCGGGTACTTCGGTTTTCTCCTACGTTCCCAAAACATGCGTGGCAGGTTAACGGAACACTCTAAATTGTCCCAAGGTGTGATTGTGAGCGCGAATGGTTGTTCGTCTATGTGTGCCCTGCGATTGACTGGCAACCAGTTAAGGGTGTACCCCGCCTAGTGCTCGAAGACAGCCGGTATCGGCTCTAGCACGCCTGCGTCCCTCGTGAGGATACGCGGATTAGAAAATGGATGGAAGTGAATTTCCACCCGAGTTGTGGCATCCCCTAGAATCCATGGTGACCTTCGCATTCGCCTATCTTAACAAATGAGCAAGATGGACCTGGACTCGCCACAGGATTATGTCCACTTGGTCAACAGCCTATTTTATAACAGAGATGTCTTTATGTGTTCCAGAAACTTCACAGTTGAATACTTTTTGAAAAACTTTCTATGGAGCTAAATGGCACAATTCACAACTGACGTTGGGTATTATTATATTGTACCAATGGTCATAGTGATTGGCTGGTCACTGTATTGTCTCACGCTTAGTGGTCTCTCTTTACATTAATCTAATTTCTCCCCTCTCAGGAGTCCTAGCAGATAGTCCTTTGAGCCTCACCTCCACCAAGAAAGAGGAAAATGACTGGGATGTAGGCACAGTGGCGCAATCGGAGGGCGGAATGACAGTGGACGAGTTGAGGGGCTTGGAGTCTGCATTGAGGGCCGAGAGAGGCCGCGAGCAGGCCGCTCTGACGGCCTCCCATCCCGCGGGCCCCGCAGCAGAGGTGGTGTTGGGTGGCAAGCTCGGCTTGCCTCCCAAGTACATCGGATTGGATGGCATGGAGCAGGACGGAGATGGGGAGCCACAGCCACCCACATTGCAGCCACAGTACCAGTTAGGCAGAGGCCGGGTGAAGGACAGCGCGAAGGGCCATGGGGGGTTCGGGTCAGGCAGGTTTAAGAAGACAAGAGAGAGCGACTCTGCTCTGAGTGGAGAGGATGGAGCAGAGCAGGGAGAGTCTGAGCACCTGCAGCCGTCGGCCGCGGGAAGCGCCGGCGAGAGCGCAGGGGAGGAGGAAGCCGCTCCCGACCTGCTCCACTTCTGCCCTCAGTGTGGAGGCGGCTTCACGACAGAACCTGAGCTGGAGGAGCACCCTTGCCCGCTAGGTGGTGCCCATTTACAGAACAGTGGCGGCGAGGAAAACGTTTTCCCATGTGCCCATTGTGGAAATACATTTAGCCACGCGTGGGCACTCAAGAACCACGAGTGTGCCTGCGCCGCCGAGAGGCCACACTGTTGCGAGATTTGCGGCAAGCGCTTCACACACTCGCGTTCGCTCGAGCGCCATCATTTGGTGCACACGGGCGAGAGGCCGCACCAGTGCCCGTTGTGCGGGCGCAGTTTCAGCCGCCTGGGGAACCTGGAGCGCCACCAGCGCATCCACACGGGTGAACGTCCTTACGGGTGCGAGGCGTGCGGGAAGCGCTTCAGTCGAGTGGAGTACCTAAAGAGACACCAGCTGATTCACAACGGTGAGAAGGCCTCAACGCAGTGCTCTGCCTGCGGGGTGAACTTCCGCGATGTGGAGCAGCTGAAAAGCCACCAATGTTTTTAAAAAAAAGTTCTGCGGAAAGAACAGCTTTTTAACTGAATGTGGTAGCGTTTTGTTGGATGACGTGTTTTTTTTTTTTTCCTCCCTCAAAGATTTGCAGTTCTGCAGCTGCTGAGACTTCCAGGAACCTCAGCGGCTATAAGCTAGATAGCGAATTGTCTTTTAACTGAAGCTATTCATCTTTGTATAAATCCTGTACTCATTGATAAAGAAAAAAAATCTATGTTTGTTTTGACACTAAACACAGTGCCCCCACGTCCCATTAGAGGAATGGCTGTATTTTGTATATTTGTCTATGGTCTGCATTGAGAAATAAACATTTCAGTCCATCAGAACACACTTCTCAAGTTAATTTTTTTTTTATTGCTTCATTACACCTTGGACTGGTCGTCTGTCAATCACAGGGCAAATCGAAACAATTGGGTACTGAACCTACACTCCTTGCGTTTCCACGCAGGCTAGTGAACCACCAGCATCAGCGACCTCAATACTAGTGTCCACAATATGAATGGTTCAACATGTAAAGAATTGACACCAGGGGGCGCTGAGCTTAGAGTTGCCATTGAAAATGAATGACAAAAAAGTGAGCACTTGGTCCGTTGCAGTTTAGGTTTATTATCAAATCAATATAAATGAACAACTGTACCTTTCAGCATCAGTTCCATTCAGTAAATATTGGAATAAGCAATTTTGACCATAATTATGTTGATTAAATTATTGATTAAAGACAGTGACCACAGAATTGGTCATTTTCAGTATGGATGGCTACTGACACTGGCCCTCAAACAAACTGATGGGCATGGCCAACCTTTGAGCCAGGATGTCCTCAAGGGTGTCCAGAGGCATCTTCCTCACATCGTAGCCCCGCAATGAGTTTCTCACTTTGGGGTTCACTGGCACAATCTCCTCGCCACTGTTGCGGTCGTTTCTGCCTACAGCAGCGAATGTTGGAAACAGTGGCCGCACATCCCGAGGGAGCTTGGCCTTATACGACGGGCAGCAGTAGGCAGACCACATGTACTCAGGGACAGACACCCTGTTATTGATCCAGCGAGTGCCATTTGCATAAGGCATTGCACCTGTGATCACGTACATCGGACCCTCACAGAAGGTCTTGAACTTCTTTAGCATTCCTTTTTCCAGGGAATTCCAGGGGCCTGAGTTGGAGCCCGCCCGCTGAGGGACAACATTGGTCAGTGTGAATGTGGCCACACGGTCTTCTCTGGTCTTCTGGTGCATGCTGGGATTGAGATGGCCCCTGGTGTAGTTGGAATTCTTGTAATCCTCAAGTACTGCTTGACTCTCTAACACGTTCTGATCCACTGGAGTGTTGAACGGTTTCATTTCAGGACTGGCGTGGGAGAATGCCAACTGAAAAACAGATAACAGTGCACTTTATTTTAGTTGTATGGGGAAAAAGAACTGAAAAATAATCTGCTATTTTAGTCAGGACAAACACTCACAGATTCTATTACATACTGTACATTTGGTACAGAAATAGCCTTTATTGTCATTGTATGGTGCATACTAAAAATGTTAGGACTTCTAGAACAAAATCTAGACTCGAAAAATAAATATAACTACAGTATAACCCCCACCCCCCCAAAAAAAGAGATCTAAGTTATGCAAGGAGAAAATAATGTATTGTAAAACAATGCTGCAAATAGAGACATTCTACATGTAATTGATGCCCCCTTAAAAGGTTTCTAATTGCCTATAGATGCCTTAAGATGGTGTCAAAGCACTACTTTATTCTAAACGAAGTGCCTAAACTCATATTCACACACTTCCTGGGCACCAAGATGCCACAAGAATGCGGCAAGATACTTCTTTCCTCTAAATCAGTGGTTCTTCACCTTTTTAGAGGTACCGAACCCAACCAGTTAATATGCACATTCACCGAACCCTTCATGAGTGAAAAATAAATATATATATTTTTTTTTTTACAAATTCAAGATATTAAGAAAAAAAGCAATTTATTAAAAACAGACAATAGTAAATAAAATTTCAAGAGATAAGTATACAGTACTTTTTTTTTTTTTTTTTTAATTGGACGGCATACTATCACGACAGTCACACGTTTAATCTTTATTTTAGTTGTATGGGGAAAAAGAACTGAAAAATAATCTGCTATTTTAGTCAGGACAAACACTCACAGATTCTATTACATACTGTACATTTGGTACAGAAATAGCCTTTATTGTCATTGTATGGTGCATACTAAAAATGTTAGGACTTCTAGAACAAAATCTAGACTCGAAAAATAAATATAACTACAGTATAACCCCCACCCCCCCAAAAAAAGAGATCTAAGTTATGCAAGGAGAAAATAATGTATTGTAAAACAATGCTGCAAATAGAGACATTCTACATGTAATTGATGCCCCCTTAAAAGGTTTCTAATTGCCTATAGATGCCTTAAGATGGTGTCAAAGCACTACTTTATTCTAAACGAAGTGCCTAAACTCATATTCACACACTTCCTGGGCACCAAGATGCCACAAGAATGCGGCAAGATACTTCTTTCCTCTAAATCAGTGGTTCTTCACCTTTTTAGAGGTACCGAACCCAACCAGTTAATATGCACATTCACCGAACCCTTCATGAGTGAAAAATAAATATATATATTTTTTTTTACAAATTCAAGATATGAAAAAAAAACGCATTTCTTAAAAACAGAAAAAGTTAATAACATTTCAAGATCATCTGCAGCCAGTGATGGCCAAGCGGCCATAACTAATTATAACATGTTGAGTCGCGTGTGTCGTACCCTCTATGGCAGAGGCTCCGTCAAACCCTGAGACGAATTACCGAACCCCTGGGGTTCGATTGAACCCAGGTTAAGAACCACTGCTCTAAATGAAGCGCATCAATTCACTTCAACATACCGGTAGTTTCTTCTCAGGAATATGCCCCAAAATAGTGGCAAGGCATTATTTCTGTCAAAATGAAACTCCTTAAATAACTTGAACATAATTTCCCGGCACAAATGTGCACCAAGATGGCAGCAAAGTACTACATTTGTCTAAATGAAGGCCATCAAATCACGTCACCATAATTCCTTGGCCCCAACAGACCCCGATATGGTGGCAAATGACTACTTTTGTCCACGTGAAGGTTCTCAGTTCACTTCATCCCAGTTCTTGGCACCAAGATGCTACAGGTCGGCACCAAAGTAATACTTTTATTGCACTGACCTGAGCACAAATTCTTTCAGCCAAGAAGGAAGGGTGGGCTCCAAAACATTCTGTCAATTGGTGAACTGGCAAACGCTGAAACGTGAATACGTGGGGGCTCACTGTACAATGATGAGATCCAACACAGGAGCTGTATGGGAAATTAAGCTGTGCTCGCTTTAGACTGACACTGTCAGAGAAGTATCGCATGTATCTTCCTACTATAGCTGTAAAACTGTGATGTATCATAATGAGACACATTTCTACTAGTACACAAACAATGGCTCTTGTCAGACATTTGTTGTATTTATGACTAGAATATGACTTTATTCTAAACACACTGTGTAGCATTCAACAGACAGTGTTTGGTATTATTTTTCTTACCTGTGGCTCATACATCCAGGTGGAATTGGGACGTTTACCATCTGCAGAGCTGATGATATACGCCGAATACAAAGGTGTGCGATGCTGACGGTGGTACAAGCTGGCAAAGCGGTACTGGTTTTCAAAGCGCTGGCATATGGGCTGGTATCCTGCTGCATTCACACCCTTCGGTGGCGTTCCCTTATAGAAGAAATTGTGGCATTTGGAGAAGTCCTTGTGGAGCTCTCCGAGGACCAGACAGTCGAAACAGGTAAAGAGTATAATGAGCGCTCCAATGGAGACGCACATGCTGTGTGAATGAGACATTCTGCACAATGTCTGCGGGAGAGACACTTGAGGGCCATCAGGTTTTCCCTTATATGCAGACAGCAGGAACCCAACTGGTTTGCAAACTTCCCCTCTTGACCAGCAGTCTGTGTCTTCTGGGAACTATAGAATATTCTTACTGGCTCACTAACCTCAGAAGAATTTGGCAAGGTGTATTACAAAAGTCACCCACTAAATTATTTCTAACACATTGAGGCTGGTAAATAAAAAAACAAAACAAAAACAAAACACCATTGTTATGTCACTCTCACAACAGCTGCAGCTGTAACTAAGCACTTTACAGAACACGAGATAAAACATGAACAATTATATAAGCATAAACCAATACAATATTTTTCCCCATTCCTATATCCACAGATGATAATAGGTGAAAGAGGAGCGATTAAAAGTCTCCTTTCACCAGGTGATTAAAGATCACAGCACGTATGACGAGAAGCCGATTATGTGTCTTTGTTGGTTTGTTAATTGTAGTAGTAAAGTGTAAGATTCCTGTGATCTTGAAATATTAAAATAACATTAATAATATGTCATATTATTAATGATCCTCTCCTCTTTCATCTATAACTGCTTCAAATAAGTTTGAATGACTGTCTGTGTCTTATGTGTTGTGTTGTATTATTTTGTTTTGTTATTATGACTTGAAGATGGCGCCGTGAGATTGGCTGCCTTTACAGCAGCTCCTATACTTTTTATTCTTCTACTTTCTTCCTTTCATAACTTTGCTGTTGTAAATTGGGAATTTCTCCATTGTGAGACGACTAAAGGTTTCCTTATTATTATTTTTTTTCGTCACTCAAAATATGCCTCACGTTCTCCGACAGCCTGGCAAAACGTTGTACATTTATTCAGACTTTCATCCCCAGGTAGGCCAAAGATGGAGAAATTTTCGGATGCACACATCCACGCGAGCAGCGATTTTCCACAATGAACAATGTTAAAAACAATCACCGCTCACGCATCACAGACGACAGCTTCGAGTCGGTCCTGCGTAAAGATGAAGGTGACTTCCTACAACCAGGTAAAAGAAATATAAAGACAGTTAATTTGCAAATATTTATTTCATTGTTCAATGAAATAGTTCTTTTTTCCATTGTATTTTTACATTTAGGTCAAGGTTCCGCTGCACCCTCCAAGCCAAAAGAATGACGGCTCACGGCATTTTTGTTTGCTACAAGTTCAGCTCTAGAGGTTTGCTCTCAGTCCAGCTTTTTGAATCATTTGAAAGATACTTTTAACTCTGCAATTTGTATTGTTTTTTTGTTGTTGTTAAGAGTTTAAAATGTGCTAATTTTTACAGTGCACTCGATTTGGTTCATAATCCAATGCGTGATGTATTTTTATCTACATTCAGAAGAGGCCTGATCCCTAGCTAAAGATATCGGAGCCATGAGTTTGTTTCTACTTCCGCTGTCAGGACGCATATCCAAATTGTGCTACATATGAGTAAAAAAATTGGAATTGCCCAGTGGTGTAGTGGGGATTTTTTTAAGTGGGTGTACGCGATTCTGGGATGTTCTATATATATATATATATATACTCCAAAATAATCACAGGCCAACGTTATGAAGCATAACTCGCATTAGAACGATGATCAACAAACATTTCAATAAAAATTGAATGTGGCGTCGGGAGAAGTGGGTGGACGGCGTACCCCCGCGTACCACGCCCACTACACCCCTGGAATTGCCCCTTGAACCATGACACAATTCCATATCATTGACAGTACAAACAATCAGTTGACTGACTAATCGATAATTACACACATCTCGAGTCCAGAATTAGGCAGTTTTGGTGGAGGGCTGAGTGTCAAGTTACGTATCTTCGGTCTTGCTGAGGTTGCATGATGCAACTGTCTCATTCATGAGAGGCTTTTCTTTGTCCTGTCTTGTTTCCTCTCTGTGACTCTCCGTATTACATTCAGTCATCAAAACTTCCCTTATGGTGGGAACCAGACATTTTCCGAAAAAACATGCTAGAGCACTGTCTGTTTCCATTTCTGTCATTTGTGGGGAAATCCTCTCTTTCTGACACTCCCCGGCCCCCCCACTCCACTCACTAGATTTCGGGATTTCTGTATTGTTTCAAGCACGTGGGGCAGCCACGTGGGAAATCACAGCCAAAGTAAAAGGACAGAGTGACCATGATGTATCACATGAGTCGAATGTGACACGAGTAGAATGTGGCGTCATCATACGTCTGACGTGAAGTCACATTTGATGACTGCTTTTTCTTCTCCACTGGAATTTTTCTTTCAAGCGTTTCATGCTGTTTGAGATTTTTTTTTTCCCACAGCGCCCTAACAAATGAATGAATGTGTTTGTTAGAGTTATGGACTGCAAAGCTATTGATTTCGCAATCTTATTGGATTTTTCCAGAAGAGTATAACTTTCCAAAGACACTAATATAAGTAATAATAATAATAATAATAATAATGATAATAATAATAATAATAAAAATAATACTTCCCGGTAGCGTTTGAGAATTTATGTCCTATATCTAAAGAGCGTTTTGGACGTGTAAATGAATCATGAAAAAAAACCCCACACAACCTTCAATAATAATTTGGTATTTCCTGGTGATTATATAAGATGGGAAGAACAGAGATTTGTCATTAGTTATAGTCCCAAATAAAACCTGCTGAGTGAGATGTTTTGACAGCCAAGTGTCAGTCAGTCGCATAGTTTCATATGTCTGAGTCAGAGTTTTGGTTTTTCATTCTCTTCCTTGACATCCAGTTCATCTTTGCAGATCTCTGCAAAGGATGGCAGGACTTCCGGGAAGAAATTTTGGTAAACGTTTAATTGCACTTGATATTTTTTATGTCTATTGTGTTGCGGTTGGTGAAGAATAATGAGAACGCTTTACAATAATGTGACCCAACATATAAAACGTATTAAAAGAAATTTTCACTGACTCAGTTGGGCACGTATTACTCCAGATTCCTCTTGGTTTTGTAATTAATTGTTGCCTTGCAGCACAGTTTGACTATTCTGCCACTCACTGGCTTCGAAGTGACTGTTTATGCTTCCTTGGATGAAATAATCATCTGTCATTTTAGCAGCATCACTAATTGGTTGTGAAGTCACTCTGTTCAGTTCTTTATGCCTCGAAGATAAATGGTACTTATTGTTCTGCTGCGTTGGTCCTCTCGAGTACACCATGCACGCAGTATGAGGCACAAAAGGTCACAAAAGGTGCGCCGTACTTTTTTTTTTTGGCTGCGCAGATTCTCCCATCGACTTAAGTGTGCCACTCATGCACATTCATGAAATGTGCGCACTGTGGGTGGAGCAGTCTTCAAAATCAAGGCATTCCCTGACACATCTGTCAGGGCGCAAATTCTCCCCGAGACTTAAGCATCTTTTACTTTACGGGCTCAGAAATTTGCACGAAGATCTCGAGGCAGAATAAAAACGGGTGTGTCCACACACTGGCATTCAGTGCAGAGATGTTGTTGGTGAGTCATGCGTAATCTTCAGATCCCACGGCCAAGTATTCTAGCGATATTCATATCGATACAAACCTGGATGTCTTTATTTAAGTTAACGAAAAAGGGAAGAACTGGTTCATGATTTATTTACTTGGTTTAGCCTTGCTTATAACTATGAACTACAGAAGGAAGCCCTTTAGCTGGCTATTTTGACTTGCTCCCTGTGTCTATTAGAATAATGAATATTGAGCTGTTTAATTTATGACATATGTTAATAATTCAATAATTTAAGATGAGAAAATAAAATTAAGATAAAAACTTTAATCATGATTTAAATATACAATGTGACATTTCTTCTTTAGGTGAGACATTTTATTTAGACTAAAACACATTTCAAGACGTAAAACTTCTTAACCTTTTTAAGATAACCATTTCATTTGTTTATTCATTTCTTTGACGTTTTCAACCTGCAAAAGTGGAAAAACTACAAAACTTTGAATAAAAGTTTGAAAAACTGAGTTGGCCTCTTGTCCCACTTCATGTCCAATAAGATGGACCAAGCACTACATACGAAGTTTGACAATGCAAGTTAATTTCACATTTAAAGTCTGACATATTTTGTCAATGGATCTCTATGGAATTCACATATTTCATGACAACTTCACGATCCGGAAATTAGGGCCATCCTCAGACTTCACCACATCGCGACTCTTTCTTTAGTGGTTGCGCACAAATTTCCCAGTTATGCCTGATGGGTGTGTCAGAAGCATGGGGAATTGACTCAAGCGTGAACAGGAGAATAAGCCCCTATGGGAGCAGTGAGCACGCAGCATTTTTTCCCTCGTGTTTCCTTTTACATTTACATAAAAGTTTCAGATGTTAAGTAATAGTATGCGTGTGTGTACCCACTCCAAAGGTGAAGATGGTTAGCCTGACCGTTTTTTTGAGAGCTCTGTGAGGAAAAACCACTCTTAACAAAGCCAAGATCACAGGTTAATTGATCATGGGACTCATTAGACCACAGCACAGTTTTCCACTTTGCATCGGTCCAATTTAGATTATCTTGTGCTTGTCATGAATTCGTGGAAATTCAATAACTGTTTTTATTAACAGATTAAACGGGCAACAACAGCAGAGCAGCCCATGCGTTCAATCGAACTCGTTGGCATAAAACAAGCAGTGGGACTGTAATCAAGTCTGCTAGCACCTCCTAGTGGAGATTGTGAGAATAACCATTTTCAATCTCACCACAGTGTCCAGTCCAGGGGAGCCGGCGGTGTTTATGGGTATTGTTGATAAATGGCTTTTGCCTTTTATTTGAGGCTTTTAAAATGGATTTATGGATGGAGCGCCAAATTGCATTTACTGACATTGGTTTTCTGAAGTGTTCCTGAGACCATGTGGTGATATCCTTTATACATTGATCTCGGTTTTTGATGCAGTGCAGCCTGAGAGTTCAAAGTTCACGGGTATTCAGTATTGGTTTTGCTGCTTACGTGCAGAGATTTCTTCAGATTCTGTGAACCTTCTGATGATATTATGGATAGATGATGAAATCCCTGTATTCCTTGCAATTGTACATTGAGGAAAATTGCCCTTCAACTGTTTGACTATTTTCTCACGCAGTTGTTCACAAGGATGTCACCCTCAACCCGGTTTACCTTGTGAGTGACTGAGCGATTCAGGGAAGCTCCTTTTCATACCCAATTATTGCACCCACTTGTTGCCAGTTAGCCTGTTCATCTGTGGGACGTTCCAACAGCTGTTTGGTGAGCATCCCTCTCCTGTCCTTTTTGCCACATGTCCCATCATTTTTTTAAGATCGTGTTGCAGCCATAACATTCTAAGTTTATGGTTATTTGCTAAAAACAACAGTTGATCAGTTTGAACATTAAATCTTTTGTGTGTAGTGTATTCAATTAAATATAGGTTGAATATGATTTGCAAATCATAATTTCTGTTATTTAACACAACTTGGGTTGCACAATTGTGTATTTAATGTCCTATTGTATTATTTATATGATATACAATACGAATTGAGAGTGTAAATTGATATTTATATATTAAAAAAAGCATGCACACTACCTAACAAGTTGTACTACAGTAATTATCTTCCGCTAATGGTTGCTTGTGAGGGATTTTGCAACAACACGAGCAGTTGCCGAGCCTGTTACTGCGCGTCTTCCTGACTGTGTGGATTTAGGGAGGGGAAAAAAAACATTTAGAGCTCAGACCACGCCTTTTCTGCCTCTGGGTCCTGTAGTCACCTCTCGCGTAGTCAAGTGGAGCAGTCAGACTCACTGTAGCGTTAAGCGAGAGGGACAAGTCGAGTCGGTACTTGTCCCCGAATGAGGAATATGTGCACACAGGAAGACAATGGCGGAGCCCGGCGCACTTGAAGAACTCCAGTCGGAACTCACCTGTCCGGTGTGTCTGGAGATCTTCCGCGATCCTGTCATCCTCGAGTGCGGACACCACTTCTGCCAGGTTTGCATCGTTCAGTGCTGGGAGGCCAAAGCGGACGAGCAGACCACTTGCCCCAAGTGCCGCAAAACTTGCGCGCGGAAACTGCGGCCCAACTCGCTCTTGTGTAACGTGGTGGACAGCGTGCGTCGAGCTCAGGCCATGGACTCTGCCGCCGCCACTGCAGCGGGAGGAGCAGGGGCGCCGACGCCGCCCGGGTGGGACCCGGAAGGCCCGCCGGACGAGTTGGAGGAACGGGAGCCCGGGTCCAGCATGAGCAGCGTAGCCTCGTCCGTCGGACACTGGCCTCGCCTGTTCGGAATTGACATGTGCGAGGAACATGAGGAGAAACTCAAACTTTACTGCGAAGACGACCAGCTGCCTATTTGTCTGGTCTGTGGCATGTCTCGGGACCACAAGACGCACAACGTCATCCCCATTAACGAAGCCTTTGAGAACTATAAGGTATCTATTTATATAAATATTATGGTAAGACACTGTAACTTCAAAAAGTACTGCATTTGAAAAATAAAGTGCTGTGCATTAAAAGTAAAAAAAAAAGTGCTGTACTGGATCAAAAACATTTTAAACAAACCCTAAACATACCTCCAAACTTAAATCTAATGTAAATATATTGTATTATGCATACACGGTAGTTAATTGAATGACCTTAATTGTCCATAGGTGTGATTGTGAGTGAAGTTAGCTGGTATAAACTCCAGCATGCCTGCGACCCTTGAGGAGAAGCAGTTCCGAAAATGCATGCATGGATTTAATTCAGTGATTCATTCACATGCCACAAGAGGGAGGCCACGTGCCACTACTTGTACTTGTACCAAACTGAGAATCATTGCGGTACATAATTTATGAAAAACGTTTGGGGAACACCAGACAATTTCAGGCCCTACTTTGGTCGAGTATCGCCTGTGCGCTCAGTGTAAAAACAGCCGTAACTTAATTTTTGTGTTATAGTATAGTCTGCTGTGTTTGGGACCATGTTGCGCCTGTCTGGGCGTACCAGCGCACGAAGCAGCCTCGCTCTGATGCAAAGTAAAGCAAGTTGTGAAGATGCCTCCCTCCCTTGCTCCTTGGAGGTGTGTCATCAAGCAAGAACTCAGTGGATTAATACCGAATTGTTGCTTTTGATTGGACAATGTCATTCTAGCTAAATTTTACAATATTTGCCATATTTATGGCTAATATTAGAGCCACATACAATATGGTGGATGTGCTGACATATCTCTTTGACCCGGTTCAACAATTTTCTGCTACAGAATTTACAAGAAAAAGGAAAAGAATATGTCCCTTCATTTTAGATTTCCAAAGAGTTTGTGGCTCCCATGGAAATTGTATGAAACGGTTCAAATGGCTTGTAATATGGCCCTCATCACTTGCCGCACAGTGACACACCATGACAATCTGAACGCGTAATGTAGGAAAGTAAATGTCACCTAATGTGCTAAAACTGCGATCAATGGTCATCAAAATGTATTTTGACATCTTTAGTTATTCTCACATCAACCTCTGAGATGAGATGTCTTGCCACGTTACACAATGCCACACAAAAATGTGCAGATCTCTCGCATGCAAACACTGACGTATTCATCGTGGAGACGCCAACCTTTTTTTCAATAACGCTGTGATTGGCTGGTGCAGGCAGATAAAGGTACTGTATTTCCAACAGTTTTAATTGGCTCATAATGCATAAAAATAACAGACAACAGGGGGACAAACCAATCGTACTGTTTTGTGAAAAAAATATGAAATTGACAATATTTGGACATACAAGGTTTCAAACAGTGATGATCTATGCCATGGGTGTCAAACTTGAGGCTCAGGGACCAGATCCGGCCCACCACATCATTTTATGTGGCCTGCGAAAGCAAATCATTCGTGTCAACTTCCTTGATCCTTGCTAAAATCTGTCACTAAATGTCAAATTGTCATGTGTAATAAATAACGTTGAGATTTTGCAATAATTTTGTTACCCTGTTAACACTCACTCAAACAATAATTGAACAAACTATTGTAGTTGATTTGACTGATTTCAGAACTGGTTATCCATCAATTTGTCATGTACAAGTAATAAAAAATAAACATTTATTTATTTTCTCTGTCGTAACGGCCCTCTGAGGGAAGACATAACCCCAAAGTGACCCGCGACAAAAATGAGTTTGACAACCCTGATCTATGCATTGCTTACACTCGTATCTCTGCAGTATGTACATACACGTACAGTATTTATATACATACATACAGAATATACAAACGTTTTTCATTTAGTGGCACTAGAAAGTTTGTCCAAATTTGACCAGTAGTGTATATGTGTATAGTCCCATTCTCTGGAGAAAAAAAATATAAGATAATAAGATAAGAAAACCTTTAATAGTCTCACAATGGAGAAATTCCCACTTCACAGCAGCAAAGTTATGAGAGGAAGAAGTAGAAGAACAATATAATTTATGACAAACAAAACAATATGTATAAAATACTGAACAAATACTACTTAGAAATTTTACAAAAATAAAAAATTAAGAAATAAAAATAGTGAGTGTGCCATATATTCTTCACTGATTGAAAACCTGCCCTACTTTGTAATTACATTCACATGCCTCTTTTGGCATTGACAAACAGGACTTTCATAAACCGTGGAATGGTTTGAATGCTTTTCCAAAAGCAGATGAGCCAGTTTGCGGGCTCCAGCCACTTTAGTGTCTTACAGGAATTCTGCAGGCCAGTGTGAGGTTTGGTAACTCCTCCTATTGGACCACTCTGATAGATTTTTTTTTTTTTTTAACTGGAGCTGAAATGGTTGTTTTGTTTGAGTTTCTGGGTCAGACATGTGTCACATGAGTGCCATTAAGGATGAGTGTTGTTCAGTGAGAAAAAGGTAGGGGCGGGAGGAGCTCATCCTTTAATCCAGTTTCTTTCTGCAGTATTTTAAATGTGGTTCTTCATCCCTACAGGATAAACTGTCTCGGGCGGTGGAGAGAGTTCAGCAGCAGTCGGAGGACGCCTCACTTTTCCAAAAACACACAAACGAAAAAATCCTTCTCATTAAGGTATGAGTTTTTGGACGGTGACAACAATCCTTGTCCACCCTCATAATAGTAAGACACATCCATCTATATTAATTAGAGACACTAATGAACAGCTCACTCTTCATTGCACAACATTAAAAACCTTGCCATTACAAAACGCTGTGATATTTGGAACAAGAACGCCCTTGCAAAATGCTAATGGAAATTTACATTTCACACACTACAGGTGATACAAAAACGTGTCAAGTCATGTTTGTCTTTCTCACACTCATACACACAGAAGCCAAATGGACGGACTGTATTTAGAATTGCATATGCCACACTGACTTGAGTTAGTCTGGGCTGCTTTTTCCTCCGTCGTTGAAAATAAAGATGTGGTATGTGTATGCACATGTGTTAAACAGAGATATGAGCACAAGTAACATGTTGACTGAAAAGTATCAGATAAGTCCACATGCACTATCTTTGCTCAAAGCTCCAACATTTCACAAAAATTATAAAACCTAATTTCCTGGCCCCTCTGCTGTTTGACCCATTTTTATTGCACATTCTCACATTTTCACTTCTATTTCTGTATGTGAAAGGATGTGAGTAAACAACACAAAGGGGAAGTTTGCCAACTTCTCCTCTTCCTGTCTGTGTGTTTCTTTTTGCTGTTTTTTTTTTTGTTTTTTTTAACTGATTTGGTGTCATGTGTTTCCAATACAGGACATCTCGCAAATGCAGCATTTTGTGTATGACAGCACTGCGATATACCGCATTGGGAAATCAAGAGGAACTTTCAAACTAGTGATTCAATGCTATTACCGATTATCCAATTTCACTTGATTGGTCTCAAATTATTTCCTCAAAAAATTTATCATTGTTCATGTATCAATGTCAATGGCCTTTAGGCTGAACAATTAAATGCACTTGCATTAGATGGCAGTACAATAAACCTGTTGCCATTCATTCTACTGAATAAGTTGTGAGTTCTTGCAAGTACCAGCTTTGTATTCAACTAAACTGGTCCAGATTTCACAAAGTAAGTCAGTTTGAGAGGAAATTGAGACAAGATTATCGTGTTTCCTGAACAAATACCTTTTGTGACACTGTTGTTTATTGGTGTGCTGTGAGATTCTTCTAATGTGAACTACATGCCTTGGCTCACAAAACGTTGGAAATGCTGCTCTAGAGTCATATGACATAAGGGCGAACAATTTCCAATACTTTGGATGTGCCACTTAAATTGCAGAAAACTTTGGAGTTTAAACTGCTGCCCTGAACGCCATCATGAAATCTCGTGAGACTTCAGCGCGGTAATCATCCAAGAATTAACTCTATAGACTGTTTTTCTTTTTCTTTTCCTTGAGTGACTGTCTTCCATCCACTACCTGAACCACTTTATCCTCACAAGCGTGGCTTTTTTGTGATTAAGTTTTGGATGTGTGACCTCTTTCCGCTCAGGAGCGAGCAGGGGATCTGGAGGAGATGGTCAGTGCAGAGTTTGACCATCTGAGAGAGTTCCTTCAGGAGGAGGAGGATCGCATCAAGCAGAAACTGCAGAAGCAAAAGGAGGAGAAACTCGCCGAGCTGGAGGGGGCACTCACAGAGGCCACGCAGCAAATCAGTCAGCTGGAAAGCACTGCCGACCAGCTCCGCCTCAAACTAACGGAGGAAGAAAACCCTGAGCAACTCAAAGTGAGACAGCGGAAATGTTTAGCGATGTCAAAATGTTGACGCGAGTGGATTTGATGCATCATGCGAGTACAAAGGAAGTGATGTAACCTACCTCTTTTGATTTTCTTCTATTTTAGGGGATTAAAGATTTTATTGGCGGGTGAGTACCATCGCTGTAATAAAGTGTCATTTTTGTGTTTTATGATTGATGACCTGCTATAACATTTTTAATCTGACTTTCATCAGCCATTGGAATACCGAGTCATTCTTTCTGCCTTTCCAGGGCTGAGAGCATGTTTGAGCGCCCCCCAGAGGTGAGTGTGGATCTACAGTCAGGAGACTTTGTGGGACCTTTGCAGTACAGAACCTGGAGGAAAATGAGTGCAGTTTTTCAGCCTGGTACAAATTCACACACACACACACACACACACACACACACACACACACACACACACACACACACACACACACACACACAGCCCAAACAAGTATTTTGATGCAAGTGTGAATGTATTTCCCTCATATTTGTAGCTGTGACCGCAGTGTCATTGGATCCGGACACGGCCTACCCCTGCCTGTGGGTCTCCTTATGTCGCACCAGTGTCCAGGTGGGTAAAATTCAGCCCAACCTGCCCAACAACCCAGAACGCTTCACTCGCTACAACATCGTCCTTGGCTCGGAGGCCTTTTCCTCGGGTAGACACTACTGGGAGGTGGAGGTGGGCTCCAAGACGGCATGGGGTCTCGGTGTGGCCCAAGCTTCCGTCAACAGGAAGGATGAGATCAACCTCTGCCCCGAGGACGGTTTCTGGACCCTGGTGCTGAGGGACAACGGAGATGGCACCAGCGAGTACGAAGCATGCACGGACACGGAGCAGGATAGCTTGTTATATCCATCCAAGCCCCCAAGGCGGGTGGGCATCTATCTGGACTATGGCCGCGGTGAGGTGGCCTTTTATGACGCAGGAGACATGAGCCACCTGTTTACCTTCTACGATGCCAAATTCGACGAACCAGTTTACCCATACTTTAATCCCTGGCCTATTATTAACGGCTACAACTGGGAGCCGCTAACCATTGTCTCGCCACACTGGGGATAGATGATTCCGCACATTTGGCTGCAAGATGTTGAAACAGGTTTTCTGTGTCAATGTAATGGTGTTAAGAAAAGGATAACACAGTGAAATCCCACATATTTGCCTTTTGGCATTTGCAAATTGCCCTATTTGGTCAATTTGTTTTAACCTATACTACAGTATGTTATTCACTGAAGAACTGCATGAAAAATGAGAAACAGTATTGCTTTTCTGCCATTTGTTGGCATCTCGGTGTAATGTGAGTTGAAGAGCACTATTTAGACAAAAACAGTCCTTTGCCACCATCATTTGGCATCTCTGGGCAGTAAAGTATATTATAAACCTTTTGAGCGGGGCATCAGTTACTTGCAGCTTTTTGCTGATATGCCTCAGTCCCTATCCCCAACGAATAGCATGGGTTCACTGTAATGTGCAAAGCTAAAAAATGGATATTAAAAAGCAAACAAACTGCACAACAAAGTACAAAGGCGACCCTCGTGAGGATATACCGCAAGCGGTTTGGATAATTTAAGGCCTGAGCACTGGGTGGTGCAAAAGCCCTCTTGCAATCACCGTTTTTACTTATTGCCATTGGAGGGCCTCACCATGCTCAAAAAAAACTGTTTACCCTCATGAAAATGTCTATTAAGAGTTCCATTCTGAACACACAAAGCAGTGCTTTCTTGACAGTCGGGAGGGGGGAAATCAATCTTTGACGCCTGTTTGACTGACTGATGCGAAATTTGGTGGAGATGTTTATCATAAGAGGACGCAAAAAAAAAAATCTCCCAAGGACCCATGCTCAAAATTGCAAGGGAAGTTGGCCATTTTTATACTCATGCACGATTAGACTTAGTCCTCCTCAGAAATTCATCCAAATGAGCCCCAATGAAAGCGACCAAAAGTATAGCGGCCAGCCAATTATTATTCTATTTTTCAATTTTTTTTTTTTTTTTTTGTTTTGATTTGGACATTGACGATTTCCGTGATAGGGTTTGCTGTTGGAGGTAAGAATAGAATATGGAATACACTTCTAAAACATTAAAAGAAGGAGCACATAAAATAAGCGTGACGTGTTAGAACAACCTTTTAATTTTAGGACTCACTTTGGTGCAATATATGAATACACTATATGTTTGACATTGTTATTCAAATACTTAACTGCAACTAAAGCTTTTAACTCCCTGGTTTGTGTCATTTTTACAAGTTGTGAATTGCAATTTGAGAATTTATGATATCAAGCTTAAGCTTCATGCATGATTACACTTTTTTTTCTGACAATTCGGCACACTAGGAGAACAAATGTCTCATTAGTAATTGTGTATCCCAATAAATGCTCAAAAAGCTGTTTGAGGATGACTTTGATATCCTTGATGTCCAGATGGAGGTCCATGGGCTAGTTTAGTAGTCCTCACTCATGGCACAACTTTGACATCCTAGTAGGACGTGATGTGACAATGGACCAACTGACAACAGTGTGCTACCAGTATTGTAGTAAATGTGTGAAATTCTCCTAGTTGACACAGGTTGGTTCACCACTAGTTATAGTTGTGTGCACATCAACTACTGCACAGTTTTTCGTCATGTTCTAGTCCTGTCAGTGTGCAGAAATGAGCACAGAGGGAAAAACTGTTAGTCTGTTTTCGTCAACGTTGACGAAATGATTTGTTAACGCCCTTTTTCCCTTGACGATAACGAGACGACGACAAGCTAAACGTGGCTCTTGGGTGACTAAAATATGACGAGATCTAGGTGAGTTTTCGTTGACGAGACTGGACGATATTGCTGGCGTGTGGTCTGCCAGGCGTTGAAAATGCATGACGTCTCTTCCTATTGTGCATGTAATTAATCTATTTGTCAAAAAATATCAGCAATGCTGCTGCAGTTTATCCTTGTTTGGTCACGCCCACCACCTGGCCGGCATGTCGGGCGCAGCCCAACACGTCTGCAGCCAATAGTAACGCACACGGACATGCTTTCTATTGATGCACGGGGCTTGGTGGTCGGAAACGACGAAAAGAGATATGGACATACAGTACGTTCTGTACAACGCAACAGAAAGAACAACACAGTGCATCAAAATACAAGCCAGACTCGCTGGAACAATGTGCCAAAGTAGATAGGCTACTTCTGCTAACAGCAAGCTGTTACTTAGCACTGAATACAGTTATATGTCTACGAGTGCAGTAAACGGTCTTACTAATGAGGTCAAAGAGCGGACTAGTTCATGTATTTTAAGCTTGACATTGAACAAAGCTCAAACGGCTTTCCATGTTTTGCTTTTTGCCACGAGAGATCCATTGCGAATTCGTGCTGCTCTATAGTTTGCCGCTAGAGGGCGACCAGAACTAACTTTTCACTACTTTCAGTGATCTGATCCTTTTTAATAAGCAGACAATATTTTATTTTTGTGCGTGCGTGTGTGTGTGTTAATGTATGACACAAAAGAGACAGAGTTGTACCAAAATCCATTGTTGAGGTGAACCTACCATTTAGGTACTGTTTCATCCTACAGTTGTGAATATTTTATGACCAAGTTAATCAGATGATTAGATGTCACTTTATTTGACACATCACGTACAGAGCTTCTTTTCCCGTCAGCTTGATAAATAACTTTCGTGCTAGTAGAGCCAATTGGATAATCTGTCAACTGTGATACAAACAAATAAATAATGAGAAGAACGTGTTTATTATTCATGGCTGGCTGTAGTCTCCTTTTATTAGCCTGCAGGGTTAGTCAAAGTATCCTGAACTCTAATTTGATATCATTGCAGTCCAGTTAAGACAGTAATACGAGCCCTTGCTGATCAATTACAGGCGGCATGATAGGGCTCGGAGATCGGCTCTTTTATGGTTGCAGTGTGCCAAGCAAGGTCCGTAAAGACTTTCATGGATGAGTTTGGTGTGGAAGAACTTGAAAGCCCTGACCTTAACCCCATCAAACACCTAGCAAGTGCCGTTAAAAGACAGGCTAAAACCATATTTTCTTACATGTTCACTTCCAGACCATAATGACCGTTTTTCAATCCCAGTATAGTGGAACCTTCAAAGTTCAACACAAATATACTTTCTCCAATGGTACAACTCTGCGATCGCATCACAAACCCAACCTGTCAACAACAAAGCCAAAGAAAAAGCAAACCACACATACTTTAGATGCTCAATAGATTAAATCTTTCAAGATTTGCGGAAATATCACATGATACGCACTGCTGGTTGATTGTACATTCATCAATATAGCGTGCTTCCCACTGACTGAAAATGCACGCGATTCAAATGCTGCGCTGCATTTTTCACTCATGCAGGATATTGTCGACAGACACGTGATAATCTGTGTGTTTACGTCATTGTTTTCTGAAAATATAGCTCTCATCTTTGCCTCGGCTCAGGATTTTTATCTCCCCTGCCTCATCAATAATCAAGGAAAGGCAAGAGACAAACGCCTTCATTGCCTCCTGACAAGAGGTCACTGATTGCATTATGTACAGACATAGAAAACTGATTGTTTCGTCAGTCCAGTAAAAAAAAAAATGGTTAGAGTGGGAGAACAAGCACAAAAAAATGTTGGCTTTGTGTGAGTAAGCTATAAATAGAGATGAAACATTCACCTGTGTGCACATGTGTATGCTCAGTGGTGCTCGCAGGATGAGATTATGCATGCAGCAGCGCTTTGAGGTGACGTGTTTGAGCCAAAACAAATGATCTGATAGCAGCTGAGTTTACATGCAAAATAACAACAGCAACACATAAACACCGTAGCATCCCCAGTGTGTGCCATCTAACTAAATGGAGAACTGACCTAAGCAAATTGGAAATAATCCAATTTGTGTCCCAACAAAGGCTTTGGATATGAAAAGAGGATTTGAAGGGAGATACTGTAGATGTAGAGCGAAAGGAGAAATCTAGGGTACAATCAGAATGCCAGGAAGTTGGACACTTTACATGGGAAATAAGGGGACATTTTTGGGAACATATTGGAATTACCAGCAATTTACTAAATTGAAGGTTGGCCTTAATAGGAAAACTTGATGTCCCGGTGAAGTGAAAATAAAAATAAATACAGAAGAGTGTTGTTAACAACCCTCGCAAAATTGATTGATTAAAAAAATGCGAGGTAAATCGAGCCATACCACATCGAACCAAATCGTAATCCCATTTAATCAAGCCAAATGGAATCATTCCACTTTAAAATAAACCGTCCTTGAATCATATTGCACCCCATGCACTGAGATACATGTTGAATCGTCTTTTACTGGAGAGATGCACACCCTTAGAAAACATGTTTTAGCATAATCCTAAAAAAAAAACAAAAAAACACCAACAACAACTATATTTCAAACCGATACAGTAGTACCTTGATTTACGTGTACAAGTGCTCCAATTTAAGAGTTTTTCAAGTTGAGTTGGGCGGAATCGCTTGGTCGATTTTTTTGCTTTACGTTGTGAGATGAAATGCGAGCTAAGAACAAACTTTTGATACACCGCCACTCGAGTGGTGTGAGAAAAAAACTCAAGCACACGGCCTCACGTGTGGACAAGGAAGCCTATACTCTATGTTGCCTGGATTTCGGTCTCTGTGTTTGTCTTACGGCACACTAAAATGTTAAAGTATGATACAGTTCAATTAAATTACCCAGTAAATTCACATAATTTGCATGGAGTGTTTCCACTGCGTAATATTCCAAAATTCCTGATCTTAATTTTCCATGGAAACGGAATGGAAATTTTCTACCCCATTCTAACCCTAATGAGGATTACTGTCAAGGTAAAACGAAAGTGTGGAGGTGGAAAACGTACCCGGAATTTGTATTTTGAGGGTGCAAAACACACATCAGGCAGGATGTCTTACTGTGGCGGTAAAGTGAGTGGTATCCCTAAATGGCCATGTTGAAAAAGAGGAGGAAGTTAAGGAACAAGGTCGCCGTGCTACAGGTAGAAAGGGTGAGACGTAAAGCGCAGGAGGTATAGGGTGTCACCTAAAAGGCAGCCAGGTAGAGAGTGAGGGCAGCAGAGGTGCAGGAACTTAATCCTGGGGCCAAGACAAAAGCTGACGATAAAAAGCTACGAAGAGAGAAACTTGCCCAGAAGAAAGCGCAGTGGCGGAGGAAGCGCTCAACTCGGAACAGGCCCACAGAGTGAAGGATGAACAAACATTCAGATTTGAACTTGAGTGCGACGATTGCTGAGGGAAAAGACCTTGTTGACTGACCTCTCAACTGACTTTGTGTTGGGATTTTTGCATTTTCAAAATAAAAACAGCGGAGAGCGACGAAGAGAAACAGGAGAAGGAGGGGGTGGGCGAGCTCAGTAGTGAGAGAGGGTGCATGCGCCTGTGCCACATCGAGATGTTCATGATCATTCGGGAGTCGGCGGCTGCGGGAGGCGGTGCTGCAGCCATGAGCGTGCCACAGGAGAGGACCGCCAAACAGGTGTGTGTTTATTCCATATCCTCCGCACACACAGTCACTGAATATTACGTTTGTTGGACAGTGAAAACATGTTTCAGACAGACTAGATTTTCCATCTCAATAGTTTATTTGAACTGTTTGGTTTTATTTGTATTGACCTTATTTCAAACCTGGGCACAGTGGTGATAAACAATACATATATAAGGTTTTACAATACATTGTCTTTTAGTATTTTGTATTTTGTTTCACTTAAGAGGGAAAAAAAACCTGACAAACAGCAGCTGATAAGTTTGCCCATTTTTTTTGGGGGGGGGGGGTGTTTGAACGTCATTAATTTTGTCTTCCGTTCAACAGTGTTAATGCTTTAGATAAAAATGCAGATTTTAAAAGAGCTCATATCAGCTTATTAGATAGGCTTCCCAATTGCCGTATTATAATGAAGATAAATGACGCAGGCAGTGTCAAATTTTAATTTCAGTATACGCTGAGGGCTACTAAAAAACACTAATGGGCCACAATTGGCCCCCAGGCAGTCGTTGAAGTGTGTTACCACGGTATATGATTATGTTAGGTCCCTCATTTCCACGCCTTATTAAAAGCAGTAAAAAGGCAAGATTGAGTGTTTTAAGACTAATGCAAATCTGACCTGCGGTTCTCCAACCGCTTTTCTCACTACAGGTTCAGGCTTCCATCAAGAAGAAGGTAGAGAAGCAGAGGAAGCGCACCGATGAGCAGGGAGGAGGCATCACAGCAGACATCCAAGTGTCCACAGCGCAACTTGAGCACCATCACAAAGGCGTCCACCTCCTGAAGACGGCTTCCGAGAACGGGCGAACGCTGGAAGAGAGGCTGGAGCAGATGATGGAGGGAGGGCAGAGGAAAGTCACCGTAAGGGAGCAGGTGGAGGAGTTGGAGCCTGTCGACTTGCTGCCCATCGTGGACTCTGTATTTGGACAGGTAGCTAAATGCCAGCTGTGGTGTGTGTTGCCATTTTTCCGGATAAAACAAAATATGCTTTATGTGAGCCAGGACCTACTAGCCGACCCCTGGTATTCGCTGGGGTGAGGAATCGAGCTCTCTTGTGGCATGAAAATGAAGTGACATCCGTTTTTTATGCTGCGCGCACCATTTGACCAAAAAAAAAAAAAAACAAAAACCCTCGTGTTTCCATTACTTTTCGCGATTCACTTTGTCGATTTAGAACCACTGTAATGTAAACGTCTACTTGGGAGTAAAAAAGGACCTCGCTGGCTACTACGATGACAAACAGGTATAGATGGCCAGGAGGTGCAAAGTGAATAGAGCAGAGTGGAGCTAAATGAGTAGAGCAAGGTGGAGTGATGGTGAAGGTGCTCTTTGCCACTCTGAGAGTTAGATTTCTTTTTCGTATTAAATATTTATAATGCTTAGCATATGTATTACACTACAAGTCGTAAAAGCGAGACCTGATCCTCAAATGCTTGAATGTAGACTTTTCCCATTATAATGTCCTCTTAAGATTTGACTGTTCAAACGTTGAACTCAACAAGATTGAACCAGGTCACCGGACTGAAATTAATCATGCGTAACATTCGGCCACCAAAACATGTTGTTTCTTTATAGGAATGCAAATAAATGATCATAATTTGATCTTACTTAAGAAATTGGATTTGACTATTTTATTTTAAAAGGTAAGTTCGTTTCTTTTGATTTAAACATATCATTTTTGTTAAAAAGCTGATACATGCTGGTGTATTCTCCATGACAAGTTTTGCTGTCAATTTAGGGCAACTGTGGAATTAACTTTTTAATAGGTTGGGGGGGAAGGGGGGGGCTGCTAGTTGACAGGTTAGCGTGTCGGCCTCACAGTGCAGAGGTCGTAGATTCGAATCCGGCTCCAGCCTCCCTGTGTGGAGTTTGCATGTTCTCCCCGGGCCTGCGTGGTTTTTGTCCGGGTAGTCCGGGTTGCTCCCATATTCCAAAAACATGCATGGCAGGCTGATTGAACGCGCTAAATTGTCCCTAGGTGTGAGTGTGAGCGCGGATGGTTGGTCGTCTCTGTGTGCCCTGCGATTGGCTGGCAACCGGTTCAGTGTGTACCCTGCTTACTGCCCGAAGACAGCTGGGATCGGCTCCAGCATGCCCCGCGACCCTCAACTCAATAAACAGCTTGAAGCAGGAAATTACCCTCTTTTTTTTTTTGGGAGAGTTTTTCACAAGCTACTGAATTGCTGTTTGTTATGAGTTGAGTCGTGTTCTCGGCCATCGTATAGACTAATATCTAAAATTTCTGCTTCAACACAGTGACGGCTCGTATCTTGAAAAATCATCAGTCGGCTCACCCGTAAGTCTGCGTACCAATATTCAATACATACTGGAGAGAATGGTGAAAATCAGCACCATCTGCTGGTTCAGCAAGATCATTGGCCCATATTGATTCATACATTCAACCCATCCGTAGAGTTGTAGATTTTGCTTTGCAATTCATCCCCTACATCTGACATCTTACATTACAAGGCACAGAGCTGCATTTAATACAGCAACAGCAGTTACATTCCATCTCATTAAACCTAGAGTGCATGGCGGGAGCTTCAATGGTAAGGATGCGATTGCGTGTGTTGGAGAGGATTTAAGCTCCTTTACTTGCTTTAGGAAACGTTAGGAAAGTGTAATCCGTAAGAGATAGGGCCATGCTCAGTCAGGGATATGATGATACATCCATACCCCGCGGCCATTGTACACTGGCTTTCCATCATATGGTGTCTTGACGCAAGAGAAGCAAAACACACGAGGGAGGGCCCTCGTATCACATATTCATGTACATATACTGTACATTCCGCATCTGTCTGTGTTGGCTCAGAATGAAGCAATCATGATGCTTGAAACTATTGAAAAAAAATGAGAGGGACATAAGATAGGTCTGTGAGTCATTCCGATTCCCTCTTAGACTGAATAGGATAAAACATGCTCACGTCACCAGGAAATCTCCAGAAAAAGGAAAACAGCTGATGTCAGTTGTGACGCGACGGGTCCAAAAATGAGAGTGAGAGAGTGTCCGCGCAATCGGGAAGGAGTGGAAAGAAACAAGTGTCTGTCTTTGATTAGGAGCTCATTTCCTGCTTGCACTGATGGACACTCAACCCACACAAAGTCAAGTGAAGTCAGACAAATCATGTCAGCAAGTGTTACACAACGCCAGTAAATTTAAAAAAAAGAAGAAAGGTAAAAAAAGCAACAAGCACAATGGATGTCCAAGCCTGTGTATTTGGCCAAACGTTGCCATATTAAAATACTAACTTCTAGGTAACATCGATTCATTTGAACCCAAAAAAGCAGAGAACGCTGCAACTTGCAATTGTAGAAAACCTCTCACTTCAAATCAAGGTTGCTCTTGGCAATTGCAAACCGCCCTGGATCAGATCAAATGTTACATGAGAGGTTTCCATTTCAAGTTCCCCACATAAAATAATGACATTCCGACATTAAGAATGGAGCTGTATTCACTCTTTAAACCTGCTTGTTAATCCTCCTCCTCTTTTCTTTCAAAATTGCGCACCTGATTACGTTGACCTTTTCCTCTCCACATTGACTTTCATTTCCCCGCTTTCCCCAAGACCCCCACCCTCACCCTGCATCGATTCTGCAGTGAGCAACTCCAGACGAAAGTGCAAATTCCCCATAACAATGCCAATAATTGACATGTCATGACAACGATTACACAATGGACAACCATTTTGCATCACGTTGTATCTCGCAATTCTGCCCTGTGTGGCCACACATAAAGTGCATGCCAGAAAGCGCTACTGCTGAGGGAGGCTACACACCAGAAAATTCTCACTTAGTTTGACGAGCTTTTGAAATTTCTTCCAGCACTATGGAGTGACTTTTTTTTTTTTTGCTGTAGAATATTAGGTTGTTGACCTAGTGGTTAGCGCGTTGACCTCACGGTCCAGAGGTACCGGGTTCGATTCCAGCTCTGGCCTCCCTATGTGGAGTTTGCATGTTCTCCCCAGGCCTGTGTGGGTTTTCTCCGGGTACTCCAGTTTCCTCCCACATTCCAAAAACATGAATGGCAGGTTAATGGAACCCTCTAAATTGTGCCGAGGTGTGAGTGTGAGTGTGGATGGTTGTTCGTCTCTGTGTACCTTGCGATTGGCTGGCAACCGGTTCAGGGTGTCCCCCGCCTACTGCCTGAAGACAGCTGGGATAGGCTCCAGCACGCCCCCGCGATCCTTGTGAGGAAAAGCGGATCGGAAAATGGATTGATGGATATTAGGTTGTGTCAAATGAATAAGATTGGATAATGCTTACTTACGTACTTGACATTAAATACGGCGAACCCCTCATCCCTTATTCCTTACATTGCCGATCTCTGACTCACAGCTCTCGTTAGACGACACCAGTTGTTGAAGTTGCTGAACATCTGAAACCAGAGCAGTAGTCAATCTGCACACTCTTGCGCGCGCCTGTGCGCACACACACACACACACACACACACACACACACACACACACACACACACACACACACACACACAAAAACCTATTTAGATGATGAAGTGAAATGTGATAAGAGGGAACTGTGCTGCTAATTAATCAGTTATAACGGTATCCATTAGCTGCTGGTGTCTGTTTGTCTCACACTCACCTGGGTGACTCCTTGAAGAGTTCAGTCCACAGGAAATTCATGTAAAGTAACTTTGTGAAGACATGATGCACTGTATAATCAAATAAAACTGAAGAAAGCGATTGCAGAGTCATACTGTCATTAAGTGACATTTGGATGGTATTGCTACAAGTCACAAGAAGGACTCTTACAAATTTAGTATTGGCGTAAAAAAGAAAAAGGTGGTGATGAACAGAATTGATGGGAGCTGTTCATCATGTGATTGGACTTAAACTTTTACCGTAAGATTTTTATAATTGAATTGAATACAACTTTATTGTCAAATGTGCTGTGTGTGTAACATACAGCACAGCACAGATGAAATTTCTTCCCTCTCAACATAAAACAAGAGGAGCCGCTGCGGGTGTCCGCGCCGCCATCAAAAGAAAAGTTAACAAAAAAATGACAAAATAATACAAGACAACACATGAGACACAGACAACCGTGCAATCTTAACCACTTTCCTGCATACACTTTGTTGTCTGAAGCAGTTATAGATGAAAGAGGAGTGAATCAAAGTGTCCTTTTCACCAGTGGATCAAAGACGTCACGCTGCAATGTGCACACGTCTGCTACAAGCTAAGCTTGAAAGCAACAAGAAGCTGTAGCATCCATTAACGAAAAAGAGAGAGTATTATAAGGTGTATTTATAAATTGGAAATAAATAAAGTAAGAGCATTGAGGTTAGTTACGCTGCATTATCAATGCATGCATGAGCACCTGTCGGCTTGCAATGAGTGAGAGCGTAGAGACGTCATGATGCCCACCAGTCAGGGAGAAGTCCGTGGTGTTGTATGCTTATCTTCTTGAATGACGAGGACACGGGAAACAACAGCACGTCTGTATTTAAGTGTGAAGCTCTCCCCAGAATCCTAATCACCAGTGATGTAGCCATAGCAACAGTACGCGGTGAAAAGGAGGCGTGGACAGCCAAAGTCATCTTCGTCGTTCACCATTCTTCTGGGTGGACGTCAAATCCCTGGTTTGCTTGATTTTCGGAACTGACGAAGGTCTTTGTGCTTTGCAACTATAGCAACAGCTCACAGTGAAAAGGGAGGGGTTGACAGCTAAAGTTGTCTTCGTTGTTAGCTTTTCTTCCGGGTGGGCCTGAAATCCCTGGTTTGTTTGATTTTTGGAAGCCGAAAGAAACCTTTCCCGAATTTTTCACCCCGACAATTACAGCCAACATGAACCCATTGAGGGACAGCGGTTACTAAAGTGGACAGCTTATCATGTTAGCAGGCCCGAACAATATCTAATGACGCTTTGTGGCGGCTCTTGACTTCCAAAATTTCCCCCCCCCCCAAGATGGCGCCCGAGTAGGCAGCCTTCTGCAAGTGCTCTTCAAGAGCCTTGCTTTTTTGTTCTTTTTTGTTGTTTTTGTCTTTTTTTTTGTCACATTTTGTTTGTTGTTTCATCGTGTGGACCTGATATGGACTGTTTTCAGCGTTTTTTGGCCACGACATTCGTCAAAGGAGAAGTATCTGTGCTTGGTGGTTGCGCCTTCTCGGCAGCACGCCTGTACCAGCACAGATTTTGATTGGGAGGAATGTCGGCGCCATTGACTATCGGTGCTGGACAGACCTGGGGCGCTTGTGTTTTTTGCGCCTGTAATGGGCAGCATTTTTCACAACCCCGTTTTGTTCAGTGGAGATGTCGGTGCTGTTGGACAGTCGGCGTTGGTGCGGCTGGATGGATGGCT